CTAACTGTTTGGCAAGGAAGAGATAGTTAACATGTACACCCTCCTATCCCCATCAGTTCTGTTTGACCCATTTCATTTCCTAAGCCTCCGTTTTTATTGATGACATGGTGAAATGGACGAGTGTGTTTCACCATAATGATTCAAGCTAGTTGTGAGCATGCGCAAATACCAACACAAGACACCAACGTACATGTAGCACCGGGTATTTGGGAGAGTCCCACAATTGTCCCATTTTTAACTTTCTGATCTTTTTTTAATAATTTTTTTATTTTTTTATTTTAACATCAAAATAACAAGTTTTTTTCCTGCCAGTGCTTCACCAGTTCATTCTGTAGTTTTGCCCCCAATTTTACACCACACAATGAATCCTGTTGGTGAAGCACCTTGTTAATCCAATGGAGTCTGCTAACAATCATCGGGAATTTTCATCTGAGAAATTTAAGCACAGAGGCATATTAAGATATGGCCTGGGCATGCTAAGAAACGGCGATTCACCCTTTCCTAGCTTACCCAGGCCATATCTTAAATACCTCTGTGCTACGACGCATGATTGAAACTTGCCATGATTAAAACACATTCCTCGCCTGCCCCAGGGCACCTTGTTCTTTCAATGCCAAAACCAGAGTGACCTGAGAAAGGCCAGGCCCACTGTTTCACTGGTGCTCTGCTAACCAAAATAGACAGAGGCTACAGGAAAGAAGAAAGGTTGAATTGCATCATGGCTCAAACAGAACCAGTAGGGACAAAAACGTACTTGTGTAAACTGTCACTGCTTTGCCATACGGTTCATCAACCCTGCCAATAACCAGCCTTTCCCAACCTGCTTCTTATACCATACAGAGTAAATGACTTACTTTAATTCAGTTAAAAATATATTACATGTAGTTAACAGATACAGTTTCAATTTTATCCAGAGCTACTCGTGCGAGTCCTTTGAAGATCACTGTAAAATAAAAAGACAGATTAATTTCCTTGATTAAAAANATAAATTTCTGGACATCACAAGTGGTGAATGGCACTTACAGCCTTTGCCAGAATTCTAGAAAAGTGGTCAACCTCATGAGGTAAACTCAAATTGTCAAGAATTTATTACCAAGAATTTCTGTTCCATTAAATTTTTATCTCGTTATTTCCAGAATTTTCGGTTACTGGTAAATGGCTTTCATTTTGGAAATTCAACAACTCTCGGTTTTTCCTAGAAACTATCCCAGGAAATTTCCACACCATTTGCCGCTGCTTTGAATTCTTGTTTGCATGGAATGTGCTCTAGATTCCTGAGAATTATCATGGTTCAAAAAGCACAAAAGATAACAAACCGTCTCGCCCAGCGATGAACAGGAATGTTCCAGTTTTGCCAGAAATAGGCAACATTTGGTGAGTTCCTAAGAAATAGAGCAAAGAAGCAAAGATCACTTTGTAAATGTTATATAATTTAGCAGCAATCCTAAATCAAATTTTACACTACACTACACTCATAGAAGTAGATACTAGGTAAAGGTAAAGTCTGCAAAGGAGCCAAGTGGCCCATCAGGCTGGAGCTTATCCCGGCTTCTGTAGCTTGAAGCAACTAGGAGTATTTCTACCCCTCCTTAGATGGGATACTAGTCCAACGCAGTGTTACCCCAAGCGTTATGTTTGCCAGTACCCATTTATACACCTGGGTAGAGAGAGGCACTGTGGGAGTAAAATGTCTTGCCCAAGAACACAACACTATGTCCCCAGCCAGGGCTCAAACCTGGAGACAAGTGCACTAACCATGAGGCCACCATGCCACCCACAAGAGGTGAACAGTGTATATTATTTTATTTAGCAGACTTATAAGTTAATCCACAGAGAAACGTCTGTAGCCTGTGACCTACAGGCAATCATGCAACTATGCCATTTTCAGTCCATTTCTCTACTCTTATTAACAGTTTGCAACTTTGTTACAGGCTTTTTTAGTTAATTTTGCAGAATTCTTTTCTTGTAGCGATATTTCCTTGTGGTACTTTGCATATCATGATTAAAACCACAAGAATATTGCAAACATGTAATGTCAAACAGGGAGTTTTCATTAATTTTGTTTATGACAGGTGACATACTCACCACCAATCTTTATAGAATGTTCTATCCCCAAACTTTAAAACTTCAGCAGTAACATTAAGTCCACTATGAAAAAATGCATAAAAACATAAAAGCCAAATCAAATGATTTGGGACCTGCAAAATATAAAAAAGGTGATACAAAATCAGTATGAAAATTATTGATAATTTTTTATAATAATATTATTTTTATTAGGAGAATTTGTCTGTAAATCAAACTCTCTGGGCCTTCTTGTTTGACTCTTTTTAACTTTGATAAAATTAATGCATTAAATGTAAGAATAAATTATTTTAATGAGTAACTACTCACTACAGGTTTATAACTTACAGCAAGTTTCATCACTCTCTCCAGGCCCCTGCCTAAGTCCATCTCCTGTTTAAAAAAAAACCCAACAATTTTTAAGGTTACATTATCAATATAACCTTGTTCATTTATGACATCAGTTCACCATTCACTATTGATGTAATTATATGATAACGGAGATATCAACACAGAGCCATGCATGACAGCCACACATACCTGAATAGGTTTCCAGGAGTTCTTAACAGTAGGTACAATCCACTAGGCAAGCAAAAACAATGTTAAATTAGCCGTCATAACATTATAAGGAAAGGGAAAACACACTGATGTTGTCTATAGAAATAAATAAGTTTTCATATAATTGCCCCAATCATTTCAATCACCGCCATCCTTTCCAACTGCTGAGAGGACAATGCAGGCAATCCAAGCGATTGGAAGCAATAAGGGGGTTCTCATATAATTGCCCTGATCATCTGGTACATGGATGAGCAAAGCGCATGGTCAAGGTGCAGGACAGAACACATCTTTCGTTTCTTCAAGCAACCTCCATACAAGATGCCAATGTTTTAATATCTTCTCTCTGCCTATATCTAGGGGACAACCAAACCAAACTTTTCTTCTATAGCTTTCCAAGTGTTGAACCTAATGTACTTATTTTTATAGTCCTTCAAAAACTTGTTGCATGGACACTGGTATTTTTGGACTTNTCTTCAATCTTACAGTATCTTACAAAAATGATAATCAAGCTCTATGTATAGTGGTGCAGTGGCCAGTGAGATATAACCACCACAGAAAGATATAATTATTACCACACCTCTGTCCCCATCCCCCTTAGTGGCCATTGCAGAGAGGTTCCATAAAATAAATATTGCATACATACATGTATTGCACAAGTACAAATGCATCTACATGTACACTGTAGCACTAAGTGTACTTACATGGCGGAGGATGGAAAACTAGCACCACTGTGCATGGCACTATTAGCATGGTCAAAAGAAAAACAAAATGGAAAAAGCGTCCAATCCGCTCAGATATTTTGCCCTAGAAAAATGAAATAAAAAATTGAGACAGTTGGATTATATGTATATACATGTAACTCTACAAAGGCAAGTAATGGAGATAACCTGGATATCTGATCTTAGAGAAACAATGCCTCTACATATATGAACAATGTATATCGCCATCCCGTTCTTCCCCTTTTCACAGGACATGAGCATTCCAGGAAAAGAGGTAATGCCAGAAGTACAGTACTGACATTCTACAGTGTAGGCATGGTACCAGGGTATGCTTACGTGGTCAAAACTATTATTTTTTTTTTATCAAGGCATAATTTATAGTAATTTTATGTTCAAATTTGTTCTTGCAGGCAGCCAAATGGTTATAACTGTGCTACTCTAACTCCTGATCAAGGGGTCCTGGTTTTAGCACTGTTCAGTGTGTTGCATTCTATGGCAAGGCCCTTAACTCTCAGAGTGCCTCTATATCCCTGCAATGGAGTAGAAATACATGACTTGTACTCCTTGTCACTGCACACCTAGGAAAACCAGGGGTTATAACTGCCGGTCTGATGGGCCACTCAGCTCAAATGCAGACTTAACCTTATGTCCACACTAACAAAGTTAACCATCACTGGTACAGTATTACAGGATTGCTTTTACTTACTAAGGCCAGTAGCTTCTCTAAGCAAAATATTGCTTGGATAAAAACATTCGAAACTGAAAAGCAACAAAAACAAATATCTAACTACAGAGAACAAGTTAAATTCAAATCGTATGAGTAGCTATGCAGGATAAACAAAGGTATAATATTTTGCTGTCTCAAAATTGGATTCTTCAAAATACTAGGAACTGAGTTTCAGTTTAGAGTTGAATTGAGAAGTATATTTATCTTGCTGTTTGACTGATCTCTTGAGAAATTTACAACATACAACATTATACTTACAGATCACAAGTGATGCTGAAGGCCAGCGGTATGGATCTTCCAGAAATATTGTTATGACCTGAACTGGGTCGATAAGTAGGCCATACCTACAGGAAGGGAAGTAAAGACAATAATTATTTTGAATGAGTTTGTGACACAATGATCGACACAACACGAAAGAGGTGATAAAAAACAAATAAATTAAAAACTTAAATTAGTAAGTTCTTTTACCTATAGTAATGAAAAAATTGAGATGACAGCCAAGTATAAGACTAGACAAGTGTTTCTAAAATAATTAATTTTTACTAACCAAATACTTTTGAAGGTATGAGGGGCCCCCAGTTTCATGGATGAAAAAAAAAAGCTCATGCTTATTAAAGTTAACTAAAACACAAATTACTGAGACCTCCCTACAACCGTCACCTCTCTGCAATGGCCAGAGAGATATATAACAACTACAGAAAGATAACTCAATGATTTTATTTTTACTGACCAAGTACTTTTGAAGGCATTTCAAAATATCTGAGCAGATTAGCTGCCTTTTTCGGTTTCTCTTCTTTTATCAATGCTAATACTGGATGGAAAGCTAACACCGCTGTACATGGCACTATTATTTTAATAGTGCTATGTACAGTAATGCTAGTTTTCCATCCTCCACCATGTAAGTATCATTTATCTTAACTATTAAGACATTAATTTAATGAAAAAATTAAACTTACTTTAGCACATTATCAAGTGCTAATCTGAAATTTGACAAAATCTGCAATTAAAGAACATATTTATCTCATTAAGACCCATAAATACTAGGGGCTACAGCACATAAATCAAATGACCCTAAATTAATCATACATAAAGTAACACCTTTCATTAGTAATTTTAAAACACTTTTTTAACACTGAGAGCTAAGCAATAAATAAATAAATATTATGTTAATTGACCGCTCCCACAATGGGGCTTTTCAGCCAAGGGCCTATGAACCAAAATGTTACTGTGTGGCACTAGATTTTCACGGGAGTTTATTTTTCCAAATCGGTGATTTTTTTGCATTTTGCGGGAACTAATTTTTGCGATTGTAAAAGATTTTTCTTGCTGGGTACTAACTTCTGCAATTTTTGTGAGATCGAGTTAAATTGAAATAACAGCATTTTCACATTTTTTTAAAAATTAAACTGCTTGCAAGTGACAAGTGAAACAACATGTAGAGATGTAAAACAGTAACACCCTAATCCTGTAATCAGTTTCACTCTATCACAACTACATTGTGCTCTTGTGTGGAATGGTAGATGCTATTCTCAGTGGAGTACCTTCA